GGGTCTCCTGTCACCCCAGCTGGTCTGGAATTCGATATGTAGATGAGTCTGGCCTTGATCTCACAGAGATCCTCCTGCCTCTGCCTCCTGAGTGCTGGGATAAAGAGTGTGCATTACCATTCCCTGCCCTGCTTTATATTATGAATAGACTCCATCTAAGTTGCCCAGGCGAGCTTTATACTCTCTCTGTAGCCCAGGCATTCCCTGAACCTGTGATACTTCTGCCTCAGCCTCCTCAGTGCTGGGAAGACAGGCCTGTGCTACGAGGCTTGCTTAAAATTGGGTTTTGAGCTGGGCATGGTGGCTAATGGGTAAAATTGCAGGACCTGGAAGGCAGATTAGGAGTTTGAGGCTCTGCTTCAAAAACCCAAGACAGGGCTGCAGATGCAGCTCAATTGGCAGGCTGCTTGTCTGACACTGAGGAAGCTCTGGGTTGGTCCTTAGCACCAAGTAAAACCAGGCATGGTAGTGCGTGCCTCAAATCCGAGCACTGGACAAGTAGAGCAGAAGGATCAGAAGTCTAAAGTCATCCTCAGCTACACAGTGAGTCAAAGTCAGCCTGGGATACAGGAGCTCCGGTTTCAAAAAGAAACCCCCAAAACAAAAACCCAAAAACAAACCCTCAAATCCAAAACAAAACAACAAAGTTTGTTGATACAGACTTTTTCCCAGTGGGGTCCTGGGAGAGGAGGTGGTTTCAGGATCCAAAGAGTCTAGGGAAGGAAGGGGCAGGCAGGGCTGTGTCCTGCACCCATGGATCCCTCTACCCACTAGGAAGAGAGATTCTTGCCAGAGGAAATTAGAGTAAATGATTTTGTGGGGACCACCCAGGCAGGGGAAAGGAAGGGGAAGCAAGTTACTTGGGCAGGCCCAGAACCTCACCAGTCTGAGTCTTTTGAAAATTATTATTATTATTATTGTTATTAATTATTATTATGTCTTTTTGAGATAGAATCTCCCTGTAGCCCCAGCTGGCCTGGAACTCGATACGTAGACCAGGTTGGGCTTGAACTCACAGAGATCTGCCTGCCTCTGCCTCCTGAGTGCTAGGATTAAAGGTGTGCACCACCATGCCTGGTTATTATTTATTATTTTTTATTTTATGTGTATGAGTGTATTGCCTGCATGTAAGTGCACCCATGTCATGCAGTGCCCTCAGAGGTCAGAAGAGGGTGTTGGATCCCCTGGAACTGGAGTTATGCATGGTTGTTAGCAGCCATGTGGGTACTGAGATTTGAATCCCAGTCTTCTGCAAGAGCAGCCAGTGCTCTTAACCACTGAGCCATCTCCCCAGCCCCTTTTGTGCTGATTTGAGGCCCTTGTGCTTGACACCTATGTGGGCTCCTGTCTTGGCACCTTGGACCAGTGGTGTGTCTACCTGCCTGAACTTGTCTTGCCTGTGCACACAACCTCACCTGCACCTGCTCAGACCACAGGTGAATGTGTTTGTGTGAGTATGTGTATGATTATGCATGTGGTTTATGTGCACATGTGTGTGCAGGTGTCAGAGCAGGAAACACAGACACCAGGGAAGGATGTCAAGTGTCCTGCTCTATCTTTCTGTCTTATTCTCTCGAGACAGGGTCTGTAACCTGGCCCCAGGCTGGTGGCCAGCGCACCCCAAAGGTGCTTCTGTCTAAATTCCTGAACCCTAGGGAATATGTGAGGTTCCCTAGCAGAAGGGACTTGCCCACTCATATGATTAAATGGAGACTGGGAGATGACCCTGGGTTACTCAGATGGGCCCAGTGGTATCCCAAGAGGAGGCAGGGTCAGAGGGAGGAAGATGGCACCCTGCTGGCTTAGCAGAGGAGTGGAGCGGGGCATAAGGCAAGGGATGCTGACACATCTAGGTGGGTGTTCTAGTTTGTTTCTCCATTGCTGTGACAAAACACACTGACCACTACCAACTTGGGGAGAAAAGGGTTTATTAGGCTTATGTCTCACAGGTCACAGTTCATCAGGGAGCCCAAGGTAGGAACTCAGGGCAGGAACCTGGAGGCAGGATCTGGAGCACAGGCCGTGGAGGAATGCTGCTTACTGACTTGCTTCTCTGGCCCCTGTTCAGCCTGCTTTCTTATGCAACACAGGCCCACCTGCCCAGGGGTGGCAGGACCCACAGTGGGCTGAACCCTCCCACATGACACAAAATCAAGAAGATGCCCCACAGACATGGCCACAGGCCAGTTCAATGGAGGCGATTCTCCAACTGAGGCTCCCTCAACCCAGCTGTGTCAAGTTGACACTAAAGCTATCCAGCACAATTGACCCCTTGTCAACTTGACACACAAACACATCACTATTAAGCCAAAACCTTTCTAATTCTTGTCCACAAGATATGATGTTAGTATCACAACATAAGACAGTACAACCTTAAAAGGCCCACAGTCCTTAAAAAAATACAAACCATTAAAAGTCCATAGTCTCTTTTAAAAGTCTCTTAACTGTGGGTGGGCTTCTGTAAAATCCAAAACAAGTACTGTCTTATTTCAAAGGGAAGAATCGGGCACACCTAAGCAAAACCAAAGTCCAGCAAAGTAGCTCGAGACTGGACATCTGGGATTCACTCATGATCTTCTGGGCTCCAAAGGGTTCTGGCAGCTCCACTGCTCTGACTCTGCAGTCCACAGCACACACAGCTCACCTCGCAGACCCAGGCCAGCTCCATTCCACACCTACTGCTGTCCTCGGTGGTCGTCCCATGGTCCTGGCGTCTCCAAAAATCTGGGGTCTCCACTGAAACTGAGGCTGTACCTTCACCAATGGCCTCTTCTTGCCTCTTGGGGTGCAAAGCCTCAGATTTTCTCCATGACCCCTTCAACCTGGGGTCTTCACTGCAACTGAAGCTGCCCTTTCACCTATGGTCTTTCCTGGCCTCTCAGAGTGCCAAGCCTCAGCTGCCCTTTGTGACCCCTTCACACTTTCAGCACCAGAACCATGCAGGAGGCTCTTACACATTACCAAGTCCTGCTTCCAGCTTGAGATAGAGGTGCGGGTCCCCTCTGTGTGGTGACCCTGAGGAAATACCTCCCAGAAGACTCCACCACAGTGATGCTGGTCTCTTGTTACTTACAGCTGATTTTTGAGCCCCAGCCAACCAGCATCAATTGTCCCAGTAAAGCAAAGGTTTTACTTAAGGTTCTGGTCTCTTCTTAATCACAGCTGATTCTTCAGCCCCAGGTGACCAGAACCCACAGATTCTCAATTCAAAATATCACACAAACAGCCCTGATAGTCTCTGCTTCCCTTTGAAACTTCACAAGCCAGACCACCATTGTTCACAACTCTTTCAACATAACTGTTCCAAGCTCCACAGCAACAAACTCTGAGAAACTCAATGGTTTTCTCAGCTCAGGAACCCATAGGCAGGAGCTGGAGCACAAGCCATGGAGAAATGCTGCTTACTGGCTTGCTCCCCTGGCCCCTGCTCAGCCTACTTTCTTATGCAACACAGACCCACCTGCCCAGGGGTGGCATCACCACAGTGGGCTGGACCCTCCCACATCACACATCAATCAAGAAGATGCCCCACAGACATGGCCACAGGCCAGTTCAATGGAGGCAATTCCCCAGTTGAGGCTCCCTCAACCCAGGTGTGTCAAGTTGACACTAAAGCTATCCAGCACAGTGAGTCTGGCAACCTGTGCGCGTAAAGCCTCTGGAGGGAGCACAGCTCTGCTGATGCCATGGCTGTAGCCCAGGGTGACCCAGTTTAGACCTCTGACCACAGAACAATAAGATAGTAAGTGGGAATTGTTTTAAGCCACTGTGCTTATGGCCATTTATTATGGCAGCTTACTACAGCAATGACAGAAAAAGAATATAAGGCTAGACCTAGCCCATGGGTATGGTCTGTTAGAAATACATATGGTGGATTTTTTTGAGACAGGGTCTTATGTAGCCCAGGATGGCCTCAACTCACTGTGTAGCTGGGGATGATCTCGGACTCCTGGTCTTCCTGCCTCCACTTGTCAAGTGCTGGGATTACAGGTATGTACCGCCCCATTCTGGTGCTGGGGCTGGAACCCAGGGCATCACACATGCTGGACAAGCAGCCCTGGTTTTGGTTTCTTTTTTATTTTATTTTTTTGCATGTGAGTATATTTCCTGCATGTATGTAAGTGCACCTGTGCTGTGCAATGTCCTTGGAGGTCAGAAGAGGGTATGAGGTCTCCTGGAACTGGAGTTATAGGCAGTTGTTACCTGCCATGTGGGTGCTGGGAATCGAACCCAGGCCTCAGCTTAGCAGTTAAGAGCACTGGCTGCTCTTGCAATCTCTCCAGCCCCTGTTTTTGGTTTCTTATCATGTGTCGCAGGATGGCCTTGAACTTACTTATCCTGCTAGTGCTGGGATTTCAGGTATGTACCACTATGTCAGGTATGTACCACTATGTCAGGTATGTATGTACCACTATGTCAGGTATGTACCACTATGTCAGATATGTACCACTATGTCAGGTATGTATGTACCACTATATGTCAGGTATGTACCACTATATCAGGTATGTTTGTACCACTATGTCTGTCAGGTATGTATCACTATGTCAGGTATGTACCACTATGTCTGTCAGGTATGTACCACTATGTCAGGTATGTATGTACCACTATGTCAGGTATGTACCACTATGTCAAGTATGTACCACTATGTCAGGCTTTTTTTTTTTTTTGTCTTTTTGAGACAAGGTCTCCCTGTAGCTCCAGCTGTCCTAGAACTTGCTATGTAGAACAGGCTGGCCTCTAATTCAGAGATCTGCCTGTCTGCCTCCTGAGTGCTGGGACTAAAGGCGTGCGCCACTATGCCCAGCTCTTTGCTTTGCTTTGTTTTTTAAAAAATTTTGTTGCCAGCCAGGCTTGGTGGTACATACCTTTAATCCCATCACTCAGGAGGCAGAGGCAGACAGATCTAAAAAATTTTATTTATTTTATGTGTATGAGTGTTTTGCCTGCATATGTGTAAGTGCACCATGTGCACTTAATGCCTGTAGAGGTGAGAAGAGGGTGTCGGATCTCCTGGAACTGGAGTTACAGACAGTTGTTAGCTGCCATGTGGGTGCTGGGAACTGAACCTGGGTCCTCTGCAAGAGCAGCCAGTGCTCTTAACTGCTAAGCCATCTCTCTAGCCCCAATTTGGTTTTTTATTATTATTTATCATTAATGAATTAATTTATTTTATGTGTATGAGTATTTTGCCTGTATTTAAGAGCACCCATGTCCTACAATGCCTGAGGAGGCCAGAAGAGGGCTCTAGTACCCCCTGGACCTGGAGTTATGGACAATCCTTAGCCACCATGTGGGTGCTGAGAACTGACCCCGGGGCCTCTACAAGAGCAGCTCTTAACTGCTGAGCCATCTCTCCAGGCTCTGCCGTTTTCTTTAGACAATGTTTAACTATACAGCTCAGGCTGATCTTGAACTATCAGCAATCCTCCTGCCTCACACTCCCAGGTGTTGAGATCACAGGCATGTGTCATGTTGGCCTGTTTTGACATTGGGACCTGTGCGCAGTAATGCATCCCGCCCTCCCGCTGCTCCTGGGGAAGCTCACCTGCAAAGGGCGGTCCCAGCAAGGCAGAGATGCCGTTGGCGCAGATGATGATGCCGTAGGCGTTGGCCAGGTGCTCGATGCCTACCAGGTCCTCTGTCACCACGGGCATCAGGGAGAAGTACCCGCTGGAAAATCCGATGAGGGCGCAGATGACCGCCAGGCCGGCGTAAGTGTGCATCAAAGGCAGAACGAAAATGCTGAGGACCAGGGTGAAGTTGGCGATGAGAAAGACGTTCCAGACGCTGATGCAGGGGAGGTCGGCCACCGCGCCCAGGATCACCTTCCCGAAGATGTGCACTATTGCTATAATCGAGGTCAGAGGGAACACGTCGTTCTGCTCCGACAAGTTGTACAAATTGACGATTTCTGGGAGATGGATAAAGGGGATCACGAAGCTGCTGTACGCGAACAGAGCCCAGAAAATAAAAGCTACAAACATGCGGTCGGTGAAGAGCGAGGCCGTCCCAAAATAGCCAGAGTACCAGTCCCGGAAGCCCCTCCGGACTCTCAGGGTGAGCTGGCTCAGCGTCTTCAGGACCCGGAGAGCACACAAGTTCTTTCTGGGCGGGGCCTGACCCTGGCACTCCTGAGCTGGAAGGTCGCAGTCTCTCTCCTCGGGCCCAGGCCTGCCGTCCTGCTCCTCTGCGATGCCTGGTTGTGCTCCTGACTTCACAGATTCAGTAGAGTGAGGCCGCAGGGTGCCGGGATCCTCTGTTGTGGGGTGGCTTCCTCCCTTCACAGGCGCCAGGGGCCTCATGAGGGCCCCACAGACACACAGGTTCAGGGACACGGCACCTTGGATGAACATGGCATTTCGCCATCCGTACTCCTCACAGAGGTACTTAAGCAACACGGTCATCAGGAATGTACCAAATCCAGTTCCTGTGGTACTGAGGCCCTGGGCTAGGGCTCGTCTTTTCTGAAAATACCTTCCCACCATGACTACTGCAGGCAGGTAGGCCATCCCACTGCCCAGGCCTGCAGGTTGAGAAGGAAGAAAGCATGTAGCACCATCAGTGCCCACAACCAGAATCTGTGGGACTTATAAAGACCAGCTGTGTCATGGCTTTCCATGGCTATAGCAGAACACCTGAGATAGTCAACTTAAAAAGAAGAAAGGTTATTTTGGCTCACTTTAGGGGCTCACTCTCAATTACATATTCCTTCCATTAGTGTTAATTTCCTAGAGGTGCCACCGCCTTCCAACAGCTCCATGGGGTGGCAACCAAGCCTTCACTACATGGTCTTCAGGGCACATTTAAGATCCCATCCATATTTATGTGTGTGTCTCTCTGTGTATGTATGTCACATGTGTGTGAGTGCCCTCAGAGGCCAGAAGGCAGCTGGATCCCCTGGAGATTGTGAGCCGCCTGCTGTGGGTGCTGGTAACTGAAATTTGGTCCTCTAGACCTGCAAGTGCTCTTAACCACTGAGTCATCTCTGCACCACCCCCCCTCCTTTTATTTTGATGGCCTGGGCCTCACTATGTAGACCAGGCTGGCCTTGAACTCAGAGATCTGCCATCTCTGCCTCCTGAGTAGCCGGGTGCTCTTAACTGCTGAGCTGCCTCGCTAGCCCCTAATGAAACTGTGTAAATCAAATTCAAAGAAAGCTTTCAAGAACCAGAAAGATTTAATGATTCTTTGTTTAGCATCTCTTGGCTTTAACAAATCTCAACTCACAGGCAATTTTGTAAATTACTCCATATTATTTTGAAGCAAATATGCGATTTCATGTGTACATATTTTAGTACAAATCTCCAAATGCAGGAATTATTTAAGTAGTATAGTTCTATGTCCTCTCATTTGAAAAATAATTCCTTGATACCACTCCATATCCAGAAGGTGTTCACATTTCCAAGTATCTCACAATTTTTTTTAAACTTGTGTGTTTAAGTTAGGATCCAAAAAAAGTCCACACATTGCTGTTTGTTTATGACTATTTTAAGTCTCTTTAGTCTTTGTTTTTTTTCTCCTTGCAATTGATTTGTTGAGAACCCTGAGTAACTGTCCCATGGAACTTGTCAGCTCTGGATTTTGCTAATAGCACAAGGTAAGTTTGTTTGCTTATTAATTAATTAATTAATTAATTAATCAATGTCTTTTATTGAGATAGGATTTCCCGGTAGCCCCAGCTGGCCTGGAACTCTATGTAGACCAGGCTGGCCTGGATCTCACAAGTTCGGCCTGCCTCTGCCTCCCAAGTGTTGGGATTAAAGGCATATACCACCATGCTCAGCTATTGATTTATTTCAAGACAGGGTCTCATCTAGCTCAAGTTGGCCTTGAACTTGTAGCTAAGGATGGCCTTGAACATCTGATCCTCCTGATTCCACCTTCCAAGTGCTGAGATTACAAGTGCATACCACCCTGCATACCTGGTTTTTGTGGTTCTGGGAATCAAACCCAGAGCTTCCTGGATGCTAGGCAAGCACTCTACCAACTGAGCCCAGCCCGTCCACCTCCTTTCCCCACTAAAAATTAGTTTTTTTACTGTTGTGTTTATATGTGTGTGTGTGTGTGTGTGTGTGTGTGTGTGTGTATGTATGTATGTATGTGTGTTTTGAGACAGGGTCTCAGTATGTAGCCCCAGCTGGCCTAAAACTCACTATGTAGAACAAGCTGACCTTGAACTCACAGAGATCCACCTGCCTCTGCCTCTGGAGTGCTGGGATTAAAGGTGTTTATCACCACGCTTGGCTTTTTTTTTTTTTTTTTTTGAGGCAAAATCTCCCTATAGCCCCAGCTGCCTTGGAACTCAGGCTGGCCTCCATCTCAGAGATCTACCTGCCTCTGCCTCTCAAGTGCTGGGATTAAAGATGTGCACTACCATGCCCGGTGACAGGTAATTTTAAACTTTTGATCATCCTGCCTCAGCCTCCCAAGTTAGGATTAAAGGTTTGCTATGTACCACCATTCTCTGACCAAAATTTTAGTTTTGTTTTGTTGTGTAGCCCAGCCTGGCCTTGAACTTACTGTAGCTAAAGGTGGCCTTGTAGTGCTGATCTTCCTGCCTCTACCTCCTGAGTGCTAGGGTCAGAGCTATATCCAAACCATTGGCTGATTGATTGATTGATTGATTGATTGATTGATTGATTGACATAAAGTCTCATTTTGTAGCCCTGGCTGGCCTGAAACTCTTATATAGCTCAAACTGGCTTTGCTGCCATGATCCTCCTGCCTCTGCCTCCAGAGTGCTGTGAATACAGACATGTACCATCACACCTGGTTTTCTTGACCAAAACAACTCTGCTTCACTTATGAGGAGGATCGGAGCTCTGCCGTCACAGAGTCAGGTGGGAACACAGGAGTACAAGGAAGTGACCATTTATTGTGTGAAGCCTGTGCATAAAGAAAATTATGGCTGGGAATACGTTTGCAGAATGGATGTGCAAACTGCTCAGCTCGTTGGTCAGTGCCACACCTGATGGGTGCTCTGCCTGGCTTCTTACAGTCTCCACCTGTGTGTGGTTTGAGCTAATTCATTCCTTTGAATAGAGCCAGACGAGTGAATGAGTGTTCTGTGACTCACGCTCAGCCCACCGACAGTGAGAGAGTGATGCTTATTTCCCTGGGGTCTGTCAGCTCACCTGTTTGTGGCATAACCGTCTGTTCTAGTCTGGTTCCTATTGCTGTGCTAAAACACTGACCAAAACCAACTTGGGGAGGACAAGGTTTATTTGGCTTACAGCACAGTCCATCAAGGGAAGCCAAAGCAGGAACTTGGGGCAGGAACCCAGAGCACAGACCACGGAGGTATACTGCTTACTCTCTTGCTTCCCTGGGCAACACTCAGTCTGCTTTCTTATACAACACAGGACCACCTGCCCACCAGTTATTAGTCAAGTTCCCACATTTAAAGCATATTAAGGGGCTGGAGAGATGGCTCAGCGGTTAAGAGCACTGACTGCTCTTGCAGAGGACCTGGGTTTGATTCCCAGCACCCACATGGTGTCTACGAACCGTCCTTAACTCCAGTTCCGGGGGAATTCAAAGCCCTCTTCTGATCTCCGAGGCACTGCATGACATGGGTGCACTGACATACATGCAGGCAATATACTCATAAAATAAAAACAAATATTTTTTAAAAGTATATTAAATATCTTATATAAAAAGATTTTCTTGGGGTTGAGAGATGGTTTAGTGGGTAAGAGCGCTTGCTATGCAATCTGTAGCATCCATGTAAAAACCCAGATGTGGCTGCATGCACCTGTTGCCGGGGGTGGGAGAACAGGTGGATTGTGGGGCTTGCTGGGTACCAGCCCAGCATCAAGGTTCAGTGAGAGACCTGTGTCAAGGGGATAAAGGAGAGAGTCATAGAGCAGGACACAAAATGTCTCCCTCTGATGTACGCTTACACACGTGTGCACATAGCACATACACAGCACACACATGACATACACACCCAGAGCACACATACCCCAGGCACACACACACACAGAGCACACATACATAGAGTGCACACACCCAGAGCTCACACAGAACGTATACACAGTGCACACAGGTGTTTCCTGGAATGTTGGGTGGAGTTGGACAGAGACAAAGACAGAACGTCTCAGTGGATCACTTTTCTCCACAATTAATTCTTTGCCAAAATGCACAATCAACATTTTAAATTGTAATAGAAACCATGCTTACCAGCTGCCACTCCGAAGGTAATAAAGAGACAGTGCACATTTGCCGCATAGGCACTCAACACCCAGCCAAGGGCGTTCACCAGCCCTCCGATGATTGCTGTCTGGCGGCATCCGCAGGTGTTAATGAACAAGCCGATGAAAGGTCCTGCCACAGAGCATCAGAAAAGGCATTGACTAGACGCTTTTTCAAGGTGTTGTTTCAGGGTGTCGTCACACAGAGACAAAGAATAAAGCATCTTTAGAACTGCTACAGAAGGTCAAACCAGGGCTAGTGAGATGGCTGAGTGGGTAAAGGGGTCTGCAGTCAAGGCTGCCGGCCTGAGTTTGATCCCCCCACATGATGGAACGAGAGAACGACTCCTGTAGGCTGTTGACCTCCATACATGTGTCCTGGCACTCATGTAACCTCCCATCCACAACAAATAAGTAAATGTAATTTAAAAATCAAAGAGGGCAAAACCAAGCATTTTAAAGTACAAAAGCCTTTTAGTATGTAGAGATGGATACACATAATCTCATCAGAGAACACTCAGTTCTAGGGGGGAAATAAGCAGGCAGTTTTATTCTACATATAACAGAAGTCCTTAGGGAGTGGTCTGACAAGCTCCAGCCTGGGCATGCATTTTCTGGACTTTATGCCAATGTTTGAAAATGTGTGCAGACATCTGAGAATTAGAGAATACATACATACACACACACACACACACACACACACACACACACCACAGAGAGAGAGAGAGAGAGAGAGAGAGAGAGAGAGAGAGAGGGAGAGAGAGAGTGTTTTAGTTTCTTATTGCTATAATAGAAACACTGACCAAAACCAACTTGGGGAGGAAAAGATTTATTTTATCTTACATCTCGCAGGTTCATCACTGAGGGAAGTCAAGGCAGGAACTCAGTACTGGAAGCTGGAGGCAGGAGCTGAAGCACAGACCCTGGAGGAATGCTGCTTTCTGGCTTGCTCCTCTGGCCCAAGCTCAGTCAGCTTTTTTTTTTTTTTCCTGTCTTTTTGAAGCAGGGTCTCCCTGTAGCCCCAGCTGTCCTGGAACTCACTATGTAGACCAGGCTGGCCTTGAACTCACAGAGATCTGCCTGCCTCTGCCTCCCGAGTGCTGGGACTACAGGCGTGTGCTACCATGGCCGGCTTAGCTTTCTTTTTTCTACAAACCACTCAGACTGTGTTCTCTCCCTCCAACTCCACCAGAGGCAGAGCAGGACAATCATCAATAGCAAAAGGCAGCTGCCCAGCAGCCGTACCCCAGCCAGCTTTACGCACAGGAAAGAATACTGTACCTCCTTTTCATGGTTTCCGGTATTCTACACAGAGAAACTTCTCTAGTAAAAACTATAGAAATGATCCCTGAAAGGATAGTCTTTCAGTCAGCTTTCTTACACAACACAGACCTTATACACACCTACCCCAAGGGTGGCCCTGCCCATAGTGGGCTGAGTTCTCCATCACTCAGCAATCAAGAAAACACCTCACAGATATGGCCACAGGTCAATCCAATGGAGAAAATTCCTCAATTGTATTGTGGTTCCCTCCACCCAGGTATGTCAAGTTGACAACTGAAGCTGTCCAGCATATACTCACATACACAGTGGCAACACAGAATACCTTCTAACACATTCAGGTGATGGCAAGTCCTTTGGCTGGTCACACCCTCTCAGATTGGTCACAGTCTTCTCTTGGTTTCTGTCTCCCACCTTATTCGTTTGGCCTCTTTACACAATTGAGGTTTCAATTTTTAAAAATTACATGTATTTATTTGCTCTGTGTATATGTGTGGGCATTTGTGCCACAGTGTATGTGTGGAAGTCAGAGGATACCTTCTGGGAGTCTGTCCTCTAACTCCTATTTGAGTTCTGGGGCCTGAACTCAAGCCCTTATGCTTGATGATAGGTCATGAAGCACCCAAATGCAAATGGGTCTGAAGAGGACTCACTGCCTTAAACATACTCAGTACCTGCTGACTGTTCCAGTCCTATTCTGGAACCATTAGGCTGGGATTTTTTTTTTTTTTAAGACAGGGTAATCCAGGCTGGTCTCAAACTCCCATGCAGCCAAGGATGGTCTTGAACTTCTGATCCTTCTGCATATGCCACCATGCTTGGTTCATTAGGTGCTGGGAATGGACCCCAGGGTTCCATGTTCACTGGGCAGGCACCCTACAGCTGAACTGCGTCCTCAGCCCCCAGGACGTGCATTTTTGTGTGATACATACTCCGTGGGTTTCCTTAGCTCGGGGGCTCTAGTTTTCTGCCTTTGAACTGAATGCTTACCTTGTGATCTGTGATTCTATGTCCCAACAGCAATCCAGATTTTAGCAATACAATGTGGGACAATAAATACTCAAGAAGATGAGTCATTTTTCGTTGCTGTTATTTGGATTTTTTTGAGGCAGGGTCTCTCTGAAGCCCAGCTGGCCTGGAACTCAATATGTAGACCTGGCTGGCCTCAATCTCACAATCTGCTTGCCTCTGCCTCCCAAGTGCTGGGACTAAAGGTGTGGATTACCACATTCAGCAAGATAAATCACTTTAAACAATTGTATTTTTGGTTATTATTTTACATAACTAAGGAATGTTATACTCAACTTTGATTTTTTTCCAAATTAAAAACGAATTTAGGGTCAGAGAGATGGCTCAATAGGTCAAAGTGCTTGCTGTGCAAACCTGATGACTTGAGTCCAACCCCCATCATCCACAGGGGAAAGAGAGAACCGACTTCTGAAAGTTGTTCTCTGACCTCTCCATGTGTGTTGTGGCATACTTGTGCCCACACTCACATCTACACACAATAATAAAATAAAATAAGCCAGCTTAGCTCTAAGGAGTTCCCTTACTCAGTTCTTGGACGTTCTTCTATCTCTGTGCTGGAGGCTGAGCCAGTACCTCACCAAGCTATACCTATTAGTTACCTTTCTCATTGCTGTGGTCAAACACCTGAAAAAAAGCAACTCAAGGGAGGTTTGGTTTTGGCTTACAGTTCCAGGGAACACAGTTTATCATGGAAAGGAATGTCACATGGTCACATCATGGTGGCCGGTCACATCGTGCCCCTTCTCAGGAAGCAGAGAGAGGACTACTTCCACGGGGAACCTAGAACCATCAAAGTCACAGAGCCAGAATGATGTAGCAGCCAGGATTGGAGAATTAGTGTCCAAAGAGTTCCAAGTTTCAGCTGGGGAAGGTGAGAAAAGCTCTGGGGCTGGTAGATGGTGATGGTTACACAGGGATCTGACAGTATCGAATGTACTGGACCGTGGAGCAACAAAGGGGCTGAGGGTGTGTGGGACGGCTCAGTGGGTAAAGGCACTGGCTGCCAAGCCTAGTGACCTGATTTTGGTCCTGGGTCCTACATAGGAGTGGAAGAGAGCCAACTGCCACAGGTCGTCCTCTGACCTCCATACCTGCACCTTTTGCCTTACCGCGGGGACTTTGGTTTCACAACACTGGATGCGAACATACCCACAATCAAGGTGATGCCCATGCTCAGGGAGCTGACCCAGGCAGTCAGGCCACGGCTCTGGTGGAACTCTTCGAGCCACTCCACGTTCAGGACTCCCAGCGCCATCTGCGAGCCCATGATGAGGATGTGCACAAAGAACGAGGAAAGGACCATCATCCATGCCCACCCGCCATCAACGTCCGGGTGGGGCTTCAGGGTCTTCTTTTCCTTGGGGTCATCTTCAAAGTCATATCTGATATCTTCATGGCTGGTATACATTTTCCAAGGTTTTCTGAAACACACACAGCAAATAATTTCAGCCTGGCTTGAAACAAAAGACACTGTCCTCTTTTTTGGACAGCTCAATCTCCCATCATGATCAAAGTGGCTTCAAGCATCAAAGGATGCTCAAATTAACCTTTAAATTTTTTTATTTATTTGTTTAATATTTTATTTATTATTTTTATTTTATGTCTACAAGTATATTGCCTGCATGTTTATAAGTGCACCCATGCTGTGCAGTGCCTATGGAGGTCAGAAGAGGGCATCGGATCCCCTGGAACTGGAGTCATGGATGGTTGTTAGCCACCATGTGGGTTCTGGGAACTGAACCCAGACCCTCTGCAGGAGCAGCCAGTGCTCATAACCACTGAATTATCTCTTCAGTCTCTAGGCTCAAATTAATCTTTGTCACTCTGTGGGTTTGAGAATGTGCTTTACTTTTTCATGGGATCAAGTGCATTGATGAAATCTGTCTTTATAGTCTGCTCACATGTATCATAAATTTGGAGCAAGAAGACAAGAAGGGAGGGAAAATGGAGAGGAGGGAGAGGGAGAGGGAGCTGTAGAGGGAAGAGGGAGGGGAAGGGGAGAGGGGGGGGGGGAGGGAGGGAGGGAGGGAGACTTGATAAGAAAGATGGACCCATCCTCTGAGCCTGGAGGAAGGAGGGCATGATTGGAGCCAAGATGGTATGTGGTAGGTTGACTTCTGGCTTCCACATGTTGACTTCTGGCTTCCACACATGTGCATGGACACCTACACACACACACACACACACATACACACACACACACACACACACTCGCATATACACACACAGAGGAGACTGATAAAAACAGCCAAATATGAAGCATATGCATCTATACCATGAAAACTCAGCAGTTGTTGAGAACCTGGACAGGGAAGTGCTTATCAGGGTCCTTGTCTAGAATTGCTGGCACACAGTGACAAAATAAATCGGACCAGCTTGTAGTTGTTTGTGGTATTCTATGTGCCACTCCCCACCTGCCTTGTACCACTGTGATCAGGTATTACTGTTTAAAACTATCTGTTGCAATTTTTTTTTCATGTTCGTTTTTAAAAACTTCCTCTTCCTGGGCATGGTAGTGCATGTCTTTAATCCCAACACTCAGGAGGTGAGATCATACTGAGTTCCAGGCTAGCTGGGGCTACAGGGAGACCATGTCTCAAAAACCACAATTTCAAAAACAACAAAAAAAACTTCCTCTTGCCTTAACCTCTTTTAATCCAGACGGTGCATGATGGATTGAGTGGCAGCCCATGCAATGCTCTGTCCCAAACAAACCAGTATTCTTTGGAGAATCTCTCTCTGATTGTATGATTGTGTGTGTGCGTGGTGTGTGTGTGGGGTGTGGACATGTGTACATGCACATGTTTGCGCACATGCATGTGGAGACCAGAGGTTGATGTTGGTCTTTCTCAGGTTCTCTCCATTGTATTTTTGTTTTTAAAAAATTTTTGGATTGATTTACTTTTTTTTTTTTTTTTTGGTTTTTTTTGACAGGGTCTTCTTGTAGCCCCAGCTGTCCTGGAGCCCACTATGTAGACCAGGCTGGCCTTGAACTCACAGAGATCCACCTGCCTCTGCCTCCCAAGTTCTGGGATTAAAGGCATGCA